ATTGTGCACCCTGATGCACGGTATAATTTGCCCATATTTTACTAGAGTATTTAAAATTACCAATGAAGCTAAAAGTTCATAGACCCAAAAGTGTGACTAAGCCCAACAAACACTACTCATATAGTCATATTGAAAAGCCAATATCAACAATCATAGCAAAGTATTCATCCGGCGGCCCGTATACTTTAGCCCCAGAAGTACGGCAAATTATTGTATGGACCATGGTCCACACAATGTTATGTAGACCATAATAAAAAATAGGGAAAATTGTAAAAAATGCCCCTCTATAATATGTCAATTATCAATGTCACCCCTGAATTATGAGTGGTGTAAATGTTGCCCCTCAATTATCAAAATGGTGCACATATAGCCCCTCCCGTAGCGGACCTGTGGTTCCCCACCGCTGTCCATTGCTGGTACTTCGAATCGAGGAAGGGAAAAAACAACTAAATTACATATTTACTCTGATTTAACGGTGTCGTACACTAATGGGGAACCACATATCCGTTACGGGAGGGGCTATATGTGCACCGTTTTGATAATTGAGGGGCAACATTTACACCACTCATAATTCAGGGGTGACATTGATAATTGGCATATTATAGAGGGGCATTTTTTACAATTTTCCCTAAAAAATATATTTTTAATATATTAAGTGTAGATTATTTTTATACTGTATGTACATTATACAATATAATGTACACTCAGTATAAAAAATAATGTACATACTGAATATACATTATTTTCGTACTGATTGTACATTATTTTACACTACAAAATATGGTCCATACAACTTGTGTGAACCATGGTCCACACAATAATGATTGCAGAAATACTTAAGGTATGCATGTATCATTTCGGATCCTTATGTTGTGCATCCGTGTGCACCATGAATGGTGCATACGGATGCAAAAACAACGTCGTTTTGACTAAAAACGTGCGTCCTACTTTAAAAAAAAAAAAAAATCAGTTTCGATTCCCCTCAACTGCATTATGTTGTTCATTCATTCTGAATTTTTAGTTCATAGATTCTGAATTTTTAGTTCATTGATTCTAGATTTTTAGTTTGTTCATTGATTCTGGATTTTTAGTTCATTAATTCTGGATTTTTAGTTCATTGATTCTGGATATTTAGACGTAAATCGAAACTGATTTTTTTTTTTCATTCATGCTGGATATTTAGTTCATTCATTATGGATTTTTAGTTCATTTATCCTGGATTTTTAGTTCATTCATTCTGTATTTTTAGTTCATAGATTATGGATTTTTAGTTAATTGATTCTAGAATTTTAATTCATTGATTCTGGATTTTTAGTTCATTGATTCTGGATATATTGTTCAAATTATGCATAACATAATGTTGTTGTTGAGAATCAAAATTGAATTTTTTTTTTTTAAGTGGAACACGCGTTTTTAATAAAACGACGTCGTTTTTGCATCCATATGCACCATGCATGGTGCACACGGATGCACAGAATAATTTGCCTATCATTCCACAATCTACCTCTTGCATGGCTCAATCGAGAAATTAGAGCTTATGTATCTAGCTAGTATTCATCATTACTTTTATTTGCAGCGAGATATAGCAGGTCCAGGAACAAATATATTAGCAGCATATATTCCTAATAGTCCTCAAGTGCCAAGTTGCCAAAGTGTATATATAACTTAAAGTCTGGAACGTCTATAGCTACTCCACATGTGTCAGGTATAGTAGCTTTAATTTGCTCAAATCTATTCATTCATATTGGCCTCCTACTGTCAAGTTCCATGTAGTGTGATGACATTCATCCCGGTTACCATTTCAAATGGATGGTTATAGGTTTGAATACTGGTAATAGGAGCTTAGATTCTTTGAGCTGAAAATATTTGAAAAAGTATAGAATAAAACATATAGAGTTAATTCCCACTATCAATTTCGCCCATCCCAGACTATTATTTTTTTAGACACTTTTAGTCTTTTTCATGACTTTTCCTATTTTTAGTAAGGACATTTTTGTCTCTTCATATTTTATTGTTATTTTGCAGGTTTCAACAGTTTTAATTGATTTAGGACTTTAGTTTAATTCCACGCTGCCTATTCTAATTGCTAGCTAGGATTCAATTGAAGACTCAAGTCATTCAACTTCATCTGCTTCACCGCTCCTTCACAGGTTCACCAGGAGAAGAACGAGTGTACCGTCGTATTCCTAACAAGATTGATCACGAGAGTGACATTGGCACTTGGACCATTTCCCCAAGTTCGACGTTTAATTGCATAACTTAAACTTTAGATCACACAAGGTATTCTATGCAAGGTTGTTTGGTTCAAATCTTTCTTTCATCTATTATCTTGTAATTCACTTGTTAACTTAAAAGACTATTTGAACATGCAATACTCCAACATCTATTGGTTAGTTTTCAAACACTATATGAACTCATGCTTAACCCCTCATTACTTAATTTCCTTAAAGTCATTCCTTGAAGACGATACTCATTAAACATTACCACTAAAACCAATTTTCAGTGCTAAAAGGGAAAAACATAGTTCGCCAAAAAATATATATACTATACTAATAAGAGCCCAAAAGAGTTAGGCCTATAATGGGAAGAAAAAATGGCGGTCAAATTTTTTAATCAAATGAATGACTCAGATTGATCAGATTTTAATTTTTCCTTAAGATTTTCTAATTTATCCTTAATGAATATGATTATCCGTTAACTTTTCCGTTAAATATTATCTTTTCCGTTAATTTATGTTAGTTCACCGTTAACTTACTCATTGATTTCAATAAGAAAGGTATTAGGTTTGAACCCCATCCCAATCAAAGTTGGCATAATTAGTACTCTATTTTACTCTTATTAAAGTTAGTACTATATTTTACTCTTATTAAATTAAATAATAATTTAGTAGTTACAACAAAAAAATAATGCATATGCATTTCTTTAATTTAGAATTATGTGTCTACAATGTCTTTATTCAAAAAAAATTATTCATTATCAATAAATTAAATAAGAGAAATAATTTCATTAGTTATATTGTCTTTATTTTTCTCCAATATAAAAATTCTTTACATTAAAATTCATCAATTGATTATATTCGCTACATTGTCCCTACAATGTCTTTATTAAAAAAAAATTATTCATTATCAATAAATTAATTAAGAGAAATAATTTTATTAGTTATATTGTCTTTATTTTTCTCCAATATAAAAATTATTTACATTCAAAATCATCAATTGATTATATTCACTACATTGTCTATTATCTTTTTTGTGCACTATTTTTTTAATTAAATATCAAAGTTATAATATAAAATAATACTATATATTTATTTACCAAGTATTTTATTAATACCATGAAAAAATTTTAAAAATATAATTAATAAAGTCAATCATATTAATTACTTAAGGGATTTGTCGACAAAGAGAGTATTCAAATCACACAACAAATTGAAGTGAGAACTATCTCGCATAGTTCTTGTTTGGCAATCAGCAGTTAGCGGTTAGTGTTAGCGGATTTGACTAGCGAATTATATCAACGGTTGGTAAAAAGATATTTAAAAAAATTAGCTGTTTAAGTTAACATGTAAAATGACTTAAGGGTATAATAGTAATAGTAATAGTAATAGTACTAATAATAATAATAATAATAATAATAATAATAATAATAATAATTGTTTTGAAAAAAAAAAAATTAAGCCAATCATATTAACTACTTGGGGGCTTTATTGACAAAAAGAGTATTCAAATCACACAACAAATTGAAGTGGGAAACTACCGCGCAATGTCTTTGTTTGGCAATCAGTAGTTAGCTCTTCAATATTAGTATATATTTAATATTTTATGCCCTAATTTTTATTTGCTCTCCCTTATGTCTCGTATTTGGTTTCAACCATACCTATACAATTATTTTATTGACAATTATAATCAATCTTGACTATATTATCTTGCATTTGTAAATTTAGAATTACCTATTTAAATACGCAAATTCAACATTCAATTATCTATGCATGAACAATTCCAATATAATATTGCCTTGATATACTTTAGATTACTTATTTAAAAAAAAAAAAAGAGTTAATTCCAGCAATAGTCCTCTAACTATTACGATTTTCCAAAATAGGTCCTCGACTTTTAATTTGGACAAAAAAAACACTTGACTTTTAAATTTATTCCAGCAATGATCCTTCCGTCAAAGATCAGTTAAGTTGGCGTTAATTATAGGGGTATTGTAGTCATTCCCTTTGGTGAATAACTTATCAGCTTTGACTCCACAGCCACGCCTCCACTTCCCATGAAAATCTTCCCGCCCACCCTTCATTTCACTTGTATAATAAACCATAGCTTTCTTTCTTCAATTCTTGATCTCCACACAAACGTAACCATAGCGCAGCTTCAATTCACCACCCTCTTCGATCCGCCATGTCCAAACCTCCTCCTTCTTCTTCTTCTTCTTCCATGCTGCTTTTCCTGATCATCATCACAGTAACGTTGAGTTCTGTCGCCGGAGAAACGCTTGCTTCCGGGAGCTACATAAGTAGCAATAACATGAGCGACGACAAAAACGATAATGCGGCGTGCGACGAAATCTACGTAGTTAAGGAAGGGGGAACGTTGCAGACCATCAGCGACAAGTGCAACGACCCTTTCATCCTTGAAGAGAATACTCAGAACAACGATTTCCATGACGTTTTCCCAGGTCTTGTTATCAAGATTACTAGTTTGAACAAGTCTATGGAGTTACTGATCTAAAGTTATTATGAGCAGTTAGTTAGTTAATTAATTTCTTAAACCTTCTTTAATTTACACTACTGTACCGTTTAGAATCTTTGTTTTTGTACATATATACTAGGTTTCACTGTCTGAGGAATATTATTAGTCCAGTTATATTTTCATTTTGAGTGTTAGGTATGAAGTGATTCCGGTCGGCAAGCGGCAACCATGTCATGATAGATTGCTTGCAGAGCAGTAGCTATCATATTGGTGAAAGCCATAGTTTTCACATTCTTCTTCTCTCTCTGACTCTAGCTTTCTGGTTTTCAATCACAGATATAGATTCAGAGTTTGCCAAATCAGAATTTACTTGAACAAATGTAGAGGGCTGAACCTCTTCACTGTTATTGAGCAAGTTAGTCACAAAATCCTTGGCACCATCTTAGGTATCTGATCCATCAAATGAAAATCTTTCACGACTTTCATCCTCTGAGTTATAGTCATCACACAGCCTTCCTTCCCAGCCTTCCTCTGATCAACACTTGGATTGCATTCACTTTTGTAGTCATCCCCGTTCTCTTCAGATTTACTATCATGATCATTAGAAGAGGAATCTATAACATGGCCAGCATAACCATCCACAGCATCACTCTCCTCATTCAAGTGCGAAGGACTGTTAGCTTGACAATAACTAAAATCCTTCATGGAATGATTCTGAGAATGATCTTCCAGGCTCTTTTGCATTGCTTCAGCAGACATTTGGACTGGATTCTACCTGATTGTGAGAGGCATTGAATTAGAATAGAAATATGCATTAGCAAAACCTCTGGTGAACGCCGAATAAAAAGATTTATCTGCTAACCTTTTGTTTATGCGGGTGGATTTGAGCATGGAAGCAGGAAAATCTAACCATTCTGATAGGACTAACTAAACTTTTCGTTGCCGGAGGGTCGATTCACATGTCGGCGCCGGAGGTTTGTGGATGCGTGGCCGTGGAGTCACTGTGCTGTATCGCGTGGAGGCCTGTGGAGTCGCTGTGCTGTATCGCTTGGAGGCATGGCCATGGATGGAGTTAATAGCACTATGCTGTTAAGTTATTCACCAAGATGGAATGACTACAATACCCCTCTAATTAACACCAACTTAACTGATCTTTAACGGAAGGACTATTGCTGGAACAAATCTAAAAGTCAAGTGTCTTTTTTGTCCAAATTAAAAGTCGAGGACCAATTTTGAAAAATCGTAATAGTCAGAGGACCATTGCTGAAATTAACTCAAAAAAAAAACATTGGGCATTATCCTAATCGCGCAATGCGCATAAAAAACTAATACTTATTAGAAATATCAAGAAATAGTTGAAGAAAATGAAGGAAGAGCATGAGAAAGTGTTAAGACTTAAGAGTGAAACAGATAATAGTATGGCACAACAAGTATAAACCTAAGGGGTGGGAATTAAACAAACCCAGTGAGCTGTAAAATTGGAATATGTTGACACTTAGAGGGAAGGTGTGGGTATTTAGAGAAATAAAGTCCGAAAAATTGAAAGCAATAGACATTCCAAGCTTAAAAGTCATATCCTGCAAGTCCTTTATATATTTTTGGCCTTATATATTTCTTTGTAAATTATTTGTGTATTAATACTTTCCAGATATTATGTAGCGTTTGTTAATGAAAAGTGAAGTTGTTGGGTGTGTGCAAAACTGAGGTAATTGTACTAGACTTAGATAAAGTTTTTCTAGATATGTATAGTTTGAAGATCATCAAAACGGACGAAATTATTATGAATCATGTTAATAGATTTAGATGGTGCTACTAGTTCGTCAAAAAATTCTTGTTAGAAATAGTTGAAGAAAAAACCTTGAGAAGGTGTTAATTGTGAAATGAATCATACCATGGCGCACGTGTTGTTGGATCTCAGCACTGCATTATACTTACTTCCCAAAAGGTCAAGCCCACAGAGTTCTTTGGGTGATAAGTAGATGAACATTAACTAGGGGTCACCCAGCTGTAAGTCAAGCACGCTTAACAACAGAGTTATTTGACTATCTGGTTAGCATATCCTACTTAAACCAATTGGTGATAAGTAGGTGAACATTAACCATTTATCCACATTCTTCCATGCTAAGTCACATCGCCACGTCTCAAATTGAACAGGGGCTGAACTCAGCCATCCGTCCGACGCCCAACAATTCCCCTTCCAGCATCCGCCAACGATTCAGCGTTGCACTATGTTTACTTTCTAAGGATCACCCATCTTGTGACTACTGTAAGTCAAACACGTTTAACCACTGAGTTCTTTGGCTATCATATTTAAAATCAATTACTGATGAGTAAGTGAACATGAATCATTTAAATATATTTCTCCATGCTAAGCCACAACGCCACATCTCGAATATAATCAAACATGGGCTGAAATCAATCGATGCCTAACACGTATAATTTATTGATGATGATGCTCTTAATATCATGTATCATCACCATCTTCAAGACTTCAAGTAGTAACCCCCAACTTATACAATTGTGTTACCGAAATATCTCCATCACCACCAAACACCATAGCTATAGGCCTACAACCACCACTCACATTTCCAACACTTCAAATCCACAAACCCGAGTCACCACCTCAACAATCCATGTCTCCATCCCCCACCAACCAATTCAAACTCAATAAAACTCTCCATATCAATATGTACATGAATACACTTCCCATTGCCACAAAACCACCCCTGCCACCAAATCTACAACTCTACGCCCCTTTATGGCCAAAGCGCCATCTCCATCACTGCACAACACTCTTCTAGGTCACAAAACCAAAATAGACCCAGGATCCTCCTCTCCAATATAAAAGCAATATAATGACAAAGAAGAAAGAAAAGGAAGGGCCAAAAGCCATCCCCGGAGGGAAATTTGAAGTTGATTTCTCCTGGTATGTTGGGCCCTTAGGAATTTTTGCACCCAAGGATCGATTATTGTATGAAAATGATTTAAAAAATATACCAAAATTAGTAGTGGAAGTCAAATTGTGTTTCACTAGTTGTTATGAGCAACTTATCTTCCAATATTTAAGGTTGATATTATTCACTATTAAAATATATTATTGAACACATATGGCATATACACAAAGGAAGATCCAACAGAACTTTCAATATATAATTCTTATTGAAATAGGGACTAGAGAATACAAACATACTATGTATAATTGGGACAGTAAAAGAGGTATTGTATTTCAAAGGGCTAAATAGGTAAGCCACGTACTAAAATTAATAAAAGAATGAAAACAAGCAAAAAGCCCAAATTAATCAAACACCCTCTCTGCTATGGCCTCCAGGCATTTCACACTCAACCTTCAAAGAATCTAAAGATTTAAGGAATTTTTCAAAGTATTCTTATAATTAGCTAGCTCTTATTTTGGATGACTAGGGAAACCCCAACCCTTTCCCATGTAGGTAAATACTGCCTTATGATCCTAATCCGTAAAGAATAAGAAGAAAGTAAAACAGTCTAGATTACTCATAATTGATCAGGGCAAAGATTCAAACTTGTGATGATTATAAATGTGGATGTCTTGTCATCTTGGCTGGATTACCCTATAAATAGCTAGCTCTTGATATCGGACATGGGTGTCTCCGCCGGAGAGCGAGAAGAAGGCGACGACGGTGGAGCGGCTGAGGGATGGACCTTCTTAAATATGAGAGCAAAACAACCGGCGGAAGAAGGGTTTCCGGCAGAGCGATTTTGAGCGGTGGCACTCTTCATCTTCTCTTTATGAAGCTTCCTCATCACATAGGCTTCTGCAAGAGCGGCGCTGGGGGTAGACATGGCTTCTTGAATTGGTGGGAACAAATATGGGGAATTGAAAAGTGAAAAGGTTTTTGCTTCCTTCTATGTTTTTGTGTTTTGGAAATGTAGAGGTGGGGTGGGTGGGTATTTATAGGCTGAAATTTTGCTTGGCGGATACGCTTACGCGTTCGATTAGGCAGGCATGGTGTTTTGCCATTTTGTTTTATTTGATGTGAAAGAAAATTTTTGGTTTAGGGTTAATAATTCCGCTTTATTATTATTTTTTTTTTAAAAAACAAACTATTAGTCTATTGGAGCCCGTCAAGCATATTGTGCTCAGATGTCATGTAGTGACCTCCTCCATGTGGGAAGTCATGAGATCAAGCCTCAGCCGAGACGTTGTTGACTCTGTGTCATTCATTAGTAATATCCAACTCCAACGAGACGTTGTTGACTCTGTGTCATTCATTAGTAATATCCAACTCCAACGATCCTACACACTGAGAACACTGCGATTCGATAGAGTATTAAAATTAAAAAAAAAAAATATCAGCCACCGACTGTCCAGCGAGGGCAGCCACAGCCCTCAACAATAAGGTCTAGATCTGGACCTCATGTTTGATATTCTTTATTATTATTATTATTATTATTTATTTTTAATAATTAAATAGGCAACCTGCTAGCAACCTGTAAAAAATGTCAATCGAACAAATTTAACTGGTAAATGGGTCTATTTGACACTTAATTTAATTCGTGCAGTGGTAGAAATTGGACACTTTACAATAATAGATAGGTCTATTTGACACTTGTACCAAATAAAATATCAAAGGAAGTATATGAAATTTCAATTTCCTAAATTTTGGAATTTGAAACTTTAAAAAATTTTCCTACCAACTAAAATTGGAATGCCCGAGTTGAAAGTTAATACTCTAAAACTTTTTAATTTAAGAACCAAACGGAACATAAAAACGAATGGACTATTGAGGAAAAATTTACCAAATACGTCACCGTCTATAGAAGTTAAACTTGTTAAATTTGTAGTTTTGTAGTTTTGTAGTTATCCAATAAACAATTGGACCAACTTATTTGTTGTTGAAATATGCAAAATAAATTATTTCTGTATAAAGTCAAATTTATAATATTGTGAATATTAAATTAATAGTCTAACTAACTTGACTAGAATTGTTTCCATTTAACCAAATAATATTTTAATATGTCTTGACTGAGTCAGAGAGATCTCAATTTCAACCATTGAGAATTTTAGATCAGATGTGGTATCTACTTTTCTTGATGGCCAAGATTCAGGAATAAACCGTCGTTTTCTTCTTCACACTATGGGAAAGATGGCGTCGGTATATTTATTATTGCCGTCACCAATGACGTGGGTCAAGGAAATAGGTAGAATAAAATCCAGCACAAACACAACAAATTATTGGTGGACCACACCATGATCCAAAACGATTTTATTTTAATGTTAAATAAATTTCTTTTTGGATATTTATGTTAGAATAATGAACATTCAGACAATATATTTTATGAGTTACATTAATGTATTTTATGTGTTAAAATAATAAAATTTCTTGTATAAGATAATGTATCTTATGAATTAGAATAATGTACTTTATGTGTTAGAATAATTTATTTTATGAGTTAGAATAATGTACTTTATGTGTTATAATAATTTATTTTATGGGTTAAAATAATGTACTTTATGGTCATGTTTGGTAAAATAATTAACTTTTTAGTCAATTTTGATTTGTTTGACCATTATAAGTTATTTAACTTGGTTAAAAAATCTATATAAGTGTTTGGTTAATCAGCTTTTTGTTACTCCAACATGCTAAAATTCAAAAAGTTGTTCAAAGAAATTTTTCAATTCGTTTTTTGAGAAAAAAAAAATTATACTAAATAGCTATCAGCTAACAACTAATTTACCAAACACCTTTCTACAATCAGCTGATGTTATCAACTAGTTATATCATATTTAATGCAATCAGCTAACAGTCATTTACCAAACAGGGACCATGGTCCACAGAAACCATAGTCCATGCAATAATGATGGGCCAAACAATGACGTCCAAAAATATTGTATAAATGCATCATATATAATTTTATCTATATTATATTTTTTACTACTTCAAATATTTTGAGATCAATTAGTTACTATTTTTTTGAATACCATATATTTTGGGATTTAATTAAAATAAAAATTAAAAAACAATCAAGCTTTTCTTATCCCCTTCAAATATGGCGTCGGTATATTCATTGCCGTCACCAATGACTATACCAGTGGGGTCAGGAAGCTAGCTAGCTAAGTAATTAAAATCCAGCACGTCCAAGGAATTGGAAAAAGATTGTATACGAAAATCATACATTCAATAAGTTCATCTAAAATCATACATAATAAAAAATATACACAACCAATCACCTATTAAGTTCATCTAAAATTTAGTTTAGATAATATTAATATTTTTATATGTAAATAGAAAAGATAAAATATGATTAATAAGTATAAAAAAAAATGATGATAATAAATGTAAGCATAATAATGAATAAATATATAAATAGATAATGGTGATAATGTGATTATAGTAATATATTGTAATGGACCTGTGATTGCACTAAGAAAGAAGAGAGAAATGGGCTTGAAATTGCAGTAAAGAAAGGAAGAAAAATAGACAGAAAAGGTATAGGAAGAACTGGAGAAGCAGAGAACAAAAGAAGGGGGAGATAGGGTTGAAAAGGGAAATTAAGGACAAAGTATGTTCAGTTTCATTCAAATCAAGCATAATACTCCAATACAATCTTATCCATATTTAATTTATACTAGAAGATGACTAGTAACATAATTATTTGTAACAATTCCGTAACAACCCAAGGAGTGAAATGGTGTCGTTTCATCATTCATGCCCTGCTATGGTCTTCTGGATGAGGTCTATTGTTGCATTGCTGCCTATGATGGTCTGCTGACATGCTCGTGTTACATATATAGGCTCTGTTTGGTAATTGTTGTTAGCTGATAGCTGTTAGCTTATTGTGTTAGAGGGTATGACTAGTTATAACATTTTAGTTGATTGTAGAGAGGTGTTTGGTAAATTAGTTGTTAGCTGATAGCTGTTTGATATAATTTTCTTTTCAAAAAGTTAATTGATTAACCAAATACTTATATTGATTTTTTAACCAAATCAAACAACTAAAGTAGTCAAATAAGCCTAAATTGGCTAATAGGCTAATTATTTTACCAAATAGTGCTATAGTCAAATAGATGATAGATGATTCTATTTTCAATTTAAGAAACAATTTTAAATGTTTTCCAATTTTCAAAAAATCTAAAAAGATGTTTACCGTTTTCAAAATGTAAAACTACTATAGTAAACTTTTTTTTTTTTTGTTTTTTTAATTTTTTTAGAGAATAGTAAACATGTTTTCTGTTCCCAATTTTTTAATTTTAAACAAAAAAATTTGAAGAGAATTTTGAGTTAATAAAAGGGCCCAAATTTTGTGAAAACGAAAGTTGCTATCCCTTATGTAACAGTCCACAGAAAATGAAATACGAAAGTTCGTGTTGAGTCAAAGATGGGGGATTCAACGTAACATTGCATAGCCCACCATGAACGGTGCTTCCAATGAATCCTCCTCCTTCCTATACGAACGTTCCTTAGCTCATACCCAGATATATAGCCTACGGGAGTTGCTGTGAACTCTGATCTATAAATACCGATAAACAATTCTTCATTTTCACCAGAAAATATCATCATCATCGTCTTCTCTTCTATTCCATCTTAATTAGCAGATTCGTTAGTTTTATTGGTTGAATTCAAGAAACCATGTCGTTGGTCAGTGCAGCACTCGCCGAAATCTATGTCGCCAAAAAGATTTACGAGGAAAGTATGAAGACAACAACGGGAAACAAAACAGCTCGAGACCAAGGAAAGACGGCGACGGCCACGACTTCCTCTTATTCTTACGGCGGTTGCTTCCCCCTGTTTTTCAAAAAGGTCCATCCAAACGCCGCTGTCTCGCCGGATTCCGCCGTGTCGGCCGTTACTCCTGCTGGTTACAACTGCTAGTTCCAATTTCATTCATTTGTTTAATTCTTTTCATTTTAAATAGGTGTTATACCGATATTCTTTCATACCTTAATTTTTGCTTTGTACACGTTGGAGGAACTTTGAACTTCAAATATTTATTTTTTATTTTTATAAAATGTTGTTTTGAGGTTTTAAAATTACTTTTTAATGATAATGTTCCATGTTGATTACTTGTGATTGTATTATCTTTATTATTGTTTTATTGGACAAAATTCAACATCAAACTATAGATAAATATGGGCATATTGTAGTTCACAACTAATAATAATAATAATAATAATAATAATAATAATAATAATAATAATAATAATAATAATAATAATTGTGCGTTGGTTGGGTTGGCCAAGTTCAGCCCCTCTACTCTTTGAGACGTGGTGTTGTGGCTTATAATAGAGGATTGTGGTTAAATGGTTAATGTTCACCTACTTATCACCAATTTATTTTAAGTAGGATATGACAATCAGATAGGCAATGATTAAGCATGCTGGACTTACCGCCATCACAAGATAGGTGATCTCCTGGAAAGTAAGCATAAGTGGTTAAGCGTGCTTGACTTACTGCTATCACAGGATGGGACATAATGCAGCACTACACAAGCTGAGTTACCGCCATCATAGGATGGGGCATAATGCAGCATTACACAAGCCAGGATGTGTACTCGCACTGCCCCGACCTAGCAATGCACTACTGCCACACAACCCACAATGCAACAAATCGAAGTTACAACATGTTTGGTTTACGAAATAAATTTTAAAAGAATAAAAAGCTAGCTTTTCCATATGGAATAAAATAGACAATGAGTAAAATAGGAAATATATTCCATTGCTTGGTTAGCTAAAGGAATAGACTTTATGAATTGTATTCCAATATTTGATAATTTAAGGAATAGAAATGAGATAAATATTCAAAACACAAAAAAAATATCATTTATAAACAACAACAATGTATTTTTTATAATAATAATAATAAGGAAGAAGTGTCAAATATGCCCATCTACTACCTTGAAGTGTTCAATTCTCCCTATCATCTAAAATATAATGTAATTGGACAAACTTACCTCCTAAAATTGTTCGATGAGCTTTTTTCGCAGGTCACCTCTGGGTTGTCAATCCACATTGCTGACATGCATTTTAGTATAATAAAAGTGTGTAATGATGTTGAATTTACTTCCTAAATCTGTGACGACAGCGAGAAAACCCTAGTCCAAACCAAACATATCTTCGCAAATCGCAACAGCAGGAGAAGCACTTGTTCGATTACTCACAAATCTCTCCCACAATATGAACAATTAAAAATTGAAAATCAGAAAGCATGCTTCAGTGATTGATCGAAAAATTCTTCAAATTTCTAAATTATATGCATACAGATGAGTACAATAACAAAAATCTTCATAACAAAATTAGAGATTATTGTATGCTTTTCGGGAACTCACAACGACGGAGATCTAGATTGAAGTGAGAAGTGGGGCATGTAACGGACCTTAGGGTTTGTAGAGAACCGAGAAGAGAGAAAGAGAGTAGAAAGAGAGGTGAGAAGAGATAGATTGAGAGAGAACAGAATTCAGTTATCATTCATCAAAAACATGCCCATTACAATTGAATTATTCCCTTTTATACAACGGCTAAGGAACTACTAAACGACACCGTTTGATTGCTTCATAACGGCTAGCTAACCACTTACTCACACGACAATGTTTCACTCCTTTTCTGCAACGTCTCCAACTGCCTGCTATCACACGACGTCGTTCCCTCTACTCAATTCCCTTAGCTTCATCTGCGATCATTACATTACTCCCTCATTCAAAGGATCCTTGTCCCCAAGGATCAAATGTGGGAAATTGCTTGGTAACGTGGTAGTAATATTCCCAGGTCGCAGCCTCCTCAGGAAAGTTAGCCCACTGAACCAAGATCTGTGTCACTGCATTATTATTCCTCTTGATCAACCTTTTGTTCAAGACTGCAATTGGTTGAGCAAGCACCTCCCCTTCTTGCCCTACCAAAGGAGGCTCATGCTGAGGCACAATTTGATCCCCAACCTTCTTCTTCAATCGTGAAACATGAAATACAAGATGAATTTGTGCACCTGCTGGCAGTGCCAATCTGTAAGCAACAGGCCCCACCTTTGCAATCACCTGATAGGGCCCATAGTACTTAGATGAGAGCTTGATGTTAGTTCTCACAGCCACTGTAGTTTGCCTATAGGGTTGGATTTTCAGATAAACCCAATCCCCCACTTGCAATATTCTTTCACTTCTTTTCTTGTCTGCATGCTATTTCATTCTCTGTTGAGCCACTCTTAGGTTATCTTTGAGTATTGCTAGAAAGGCTTCCCTTTCAGCTATCCACCCTTCCTCTTCCCTTTTCTGCCCAACTCCTAAAGCCAACATAGGTGGTTGATAGCCATAGAGAGCTTGGAATAGTGTACACTGCATGGAGGAGTGGAAATTAGTGTTGTACTAGTATTCTGCCATGTGCAACCACTTGGCCCAATTCCTTGGCTTGTTGGACACCATGCACTTTAGATATGTTTCAATGCATCTATTGACTCTTTCAGTTTGGCCATCTGATTGGGGATGATAGGCAGTGAACATGCTTAATTGTATTTGTAGCTACTTAAAAATTGACTGCCAAAATTTGCTAAGGAACACCTTATCCCTGTCAGTTACAATATCCTCATGTTTCAAACCTATTTTTTTTGAAAATCAAATTATTTTGTTTGATAGTACATAATTATTGTTTTTATGATCTATTAAACACAATCGTTATATCGTGCAGCAGGGCGCGCAATGCATTGTGCGCCCCGCCTTGCCCGAAACGACGTTGTTTTGTTAAGTTGTGTGGGGAGTTGACGCGCCGGAGTTTATGTGTATTCTGTTATCGTACATTCTATTATACAATTATGTACATTTAAAACATGGGATTTTTTTTTTTTTTTTTTTAAGAATTAAGAGTTTATGTGTATTATGTTAAGAGTTTATTTGTATTATGTTAGATTATGTGTATTATCCTTTCAAAAAAGATTATGTGCATTCTATTATACAATTATGTACATTTGAAACATGAATTTTTTTTGTTAAGAAGTTAACAGTAGACACGGTAAACGGAATTTCCAAAAAAAAAAGGTTACAAAATGACGTCGTTTTGGGTCAGGGTGCACAATACATTGTGCGCCCTAGTGCACGATATAATTTGCCTATTAAACACAATCATTATTGCATGGACATTGGTCCACACAAATGACACAATTGTGTGGACCATAAATAAAAAGTACATTTTTAATATACTAAGCGTACATTATTTTTGTACATAAGGTATATTTTTTAAAAGTACATTTTTAATATACTAAGGGTACATTATTTTATATAATGTACCTTTAGTACAAAAATAATTTACCTTCAGTACAAAAATAATGTACATTTAATATAGGGAAAATGACACTTTTTCCCCCTGAGTTATATACTTATAGCATTTTCCCCCCCTCAATTATTTAGGTAAACACATTAGCCCCCTCAATTATTTAAAAAGTGGTGCTTTTCCCCCCGATATATTAAATTGACATTTCTACCCTTAAAGTAAACATTTTATTTATTTTACTTCTTCAAAAAATTATTGCGTATACGTAGGGATGACCACGGTTCGGTTTGAACTGAACCGGACACTAAAGCAATCGAATTTAAAGTTTCCGGTTATGATTCAGATCTAGAACCCAATATTTAGATGTCAATTTATTAAAATTATGTATCAAAAAAATTGAATCTTGAACCGTGAACCGGCGGTTTCGGATTTGGTTCGCGATTTTGAACTGTCTTTATTTTAAAATTTTATTTTTTTATTTTAAAATAGTTTAAATTCAACAATAAATGTATTTTATTTTTTCAGTTCGGAACATGAACCGTCCATTCCAGTTCACGATTTTAATAAACTCTAAATATTGAGTTTCGATTCTAAATTGTAATTGGAATATTTCAGTTTGGTTGCTATAGTGTTTGTTTGGTTTGAACCAAATTATGGTCATAATTTGTTGAAGAAAAAAATAAATGAAATATTTATTTAAAGGATAAATATGTCCATTTAACATTTCAAGGGGAAAAACAGCCACTTCAATAATTCAGGGGGAAAAAATACTATAGGTATATAACTCAGGGTGGAAAAGTGCCATTTTTCCTTTAATATATTAAAAATGTACCTGATATTCATGGTCCACACAATTGTATGGATCATGGTCCACACAATAATTTGCCTATTAAACAAGGGCAGATCAAATTAGCATAAATTCACAATATAATACATAAATCATAAAAAAATTAAAAAGAAGAAGAAGAAGAAGAAGAAGAAGAAGAAGAAGGACCTCAAGAACGATGAAAAGATTGTATGAACGGTATAAAAATTGATTATTATTATTATTTATTTATTTTTTTTTTTGGTTAGACCACGAGGTGTCTTAAACAGGCCCTAAGTGTAGTAGGCCAATCATTATTGTATGGACCATGGTCCACACAAGTTGTGTGGACCATATTTTGTCTACTGTAAAATAATGTACATTCAGTATAAAAATAATGTACATTGTATTCAGAGGATGTACATTATTTTTGTTCTGAGTGTACATTATATTGTATAATGTACATTCAGTACAAAAATAATGTATATTTAGTATATTAAAAATGTATTTTTTGTTATGATTCACATAATATTGTGTGGACCATACGGCACCCTGTATCATATTTAGATTAAATCCGTTTGCAACCCCTTTTTTTCCAACCTTCTTCAAGAATTTTATATAAAAAATAGCTAGCCTAGCTTTCATAAGTATAAGACATTAAGACTTTCCTAAACATAATTTCTATAAATATGTTTTGAATTTCCATAATCATATTCAAAGTTGTCTTACATCAATACTATTCCATAAAACATCGCTTGCTTGCTTGCACCTAGTTAAACCAAACTGGAAGGAAAGATTAGATTTTCCATTGATGGAATGAAGTTATTTGTAAGATTTGTAAAAGTTTCCTGTATTGTTTGCCATGCTGCAAATTGGTTCTTTGTACTGTGAAAACTTTGTATATTTAATACTCCTGTCTCATTTTAGATCTCGTTTACTATTCAGTTAAACCAGCTCTTTCTTTTTTATTTATTGTATGAAAATATGAATTGTGAATAACCTTAGTCAAGCTTGTTAACAGAACCAAATACACATAAAATAGGGACGAAATGCGTTCTTCTTAATCTATATGAATTGGTTCACAATGCAAATCCATGTTAACTGAATCAGACACGACACAAAATGGGACGAAATGAGTACTTTCTAATCTCTATGAACTGTTCACGATACAAATCCTTGTTAACTGAATCAGACACATACACATAAGATGGGATAGAATATAATGAGCACGAACTAGTTCACAATACAAATCTTTGAATTTCATACATTGCAAAGTTCTTAAAAAGTTGCCATTATCATACAACTACTACCAACCAATGACAAACATTAGTAATATGATATATATGTATAATGTCCATAGCTAGTATGGTTTGTATTTTTTACAACCTAGGAAACATCCACAGGTTGCAGAGAACACTGCCAAACATCAGTATATAACACACAAAGGCTGCAGTAGCTGAGATGTGATATCGGAAGCATAATACTTGGACACAGGAGATGTCATCAGGGAACAAGAATTTTGTTGAGCTAATAGTTGAGCAGGATGCAGCAAGCGACAAGAATGCAAGCATCTGTTGTTATGGAATAGGAAATGTTATAAATCATTGAAAATCGAAATTAATGTTCACAAGTTGTCATTTGCTAGTAACTAATAGACAGAATGCTCTTACCATATCAATTATAATGATTGTCAGGATAGTACTTGGTTGGTGATCAGGGTTTTGGATGAAAACATATAGACAATCTACAGTGGCCCAAAACAAGCTCCATGGTATGATCAAGGTCAAGACAGTGGCCAGAAGGCTGCAAGAAACAAGAATAATAACTCAAGGAGTTAGGCTATTGACTACCAAAGTTTCAAGTTTAACTCACAATCTTATTGGTCATTCTTGATTTGAGCTGTCATCTATGAACAACTTATGCTAATCCTTTACTGGCTAAGATCATAAGACAGGTTGCTGGCAGGATCACAAGAGTGCACACCTCCTGAAGTGGCGACATGTTTCTCTCGTCACCCAACAAAAAATTATGAACCCTAAGCCCTAAATCTAGAGAACAAGTCAATCAAGGCAGGCTACCTGCTAAGATCACTCATGCACACCCGGTAGTGGCTGCTTCGCCACCAAAAAAAATTATGAACCCTAAACCCTAAATCTACAACCAAGAACGTATAACAAGTAAGCCAATCAAACAGAAAATTAAGCAGATACACCTATCTCAGGAAGGAAACGGAGAAATGGAGAAAACCCTAATCAAGATATACAAAGGTAAAGCAAGATACCAGAAGGATGGATATTCACGGAAGCCTTCACCGGAGAACAGGAAAAGCAGGCCGGCAACGGAGGTCATAGCCTGAACCACTCTCATATACAAACTTGCGGAAGTCCCTAACGATCCCGGTATCAAGTCCATTATGCCTTTCGTTTTCTTCTCCAATTAGCACCGCCGCCGCTCTTTTATAGTGTCTTTTTGGCCAGATATGTCTGATCTGGCGATAACACGATGAACGACCCGCCATGCCACGTTTATCATCCTGGCCTGGAATGAAAGAGACCAAAAAGGAGATTAATTTAAGGACGATCTGTAACGGTTGGCTTCGTTTAATACTTACCAAAAAGTTGTTTAAATGATAAAGTAGTCTGCGATCCTCGTCGGGGATCATCTCAAAATCCATTTCGTTGCATAAGATTTTCACCGGATAAAGAAACCCTAGTAAGCTTCCGTCCATCATCACTAGCTTCCAATTCTATATATTAATTAAGGATTCGTTTGGAGACTAAAAAATGACTTCTTTGTGTATTTAAGTAAAAATAAAGTTAAAAGAAAGGAATAAGGTTCAAATTGGCCACTGAACGTAACCTGAAAATGCAATTAGGTCACTGAACGAAAAAAAAGGTGCAATTAGGCCACTGAACACTCCAAAAATATGCAATTTCACCTGATAGCAGGTTACCCTCAATTTTAGCAGGTTATCTGCTTACGTGGCAGCTGAGTTGACATTTTTAATAAATTTTAATTAATATTTAATAAATTTTAATAATAACTTTTTATTAAATTTTTTTTTTAAAAATAAAAACGACTTTATTTTATTTTTTATTTATTTTTTTCTAATTTTTTATAAAAATTTATTATTAAAATTAATTATTAAAAATTATTTAAAAATTATTAAAAATGCCAACTAAGCTGCCACGTAAGCAGGTAACCTGCTAAAATTGATGGTAACCTGCTATCCGGTAAAATTGCATACGTTTGGAGAGTTCAGTGGTCTAATTGCACATTTTTTGAGTGTTCAATGGCCTAATTGCACTTTTTTTTCGTTCAATGGCCTAATTGCATTTTCAGGTTACGTTCAGTGGCCAATTTGAACCTTATTCCTAAAAGAAAAATATTCATACTGGTCAACAAAAAAATGTTTAAAAAATTCTTGTCTTTATGGAAAAAATGGTCCGATGGAAATAATCGCCGAAACCTTCTCTGAAAAATCCTCATCAACGGCGATCAATCGATCGTCGGAGGATCATGCAATGTCTGAAAGAAGTGCCAAGAAGTCGAAGAGAGACAGAAGTTCTCTTGAATCACCATCGCCATCAAGGCTAGGAGGAGGCCGGGGCCCAAGGAACCCCCGATGCGTTCGATCTGAAATCGCCGGAATCCGCCCAGTGGAAGACTCCAGCGGACACTCCCAACAAGACTTGTTCGAGATTGTTCACCACCGATCAGAATGACACATTCGAGGTTTCGGATGATGAAGGCATGGACGATGAAGGCGACCCAACCTGTCCGATAATCCCAATCACAAGAGAGGAGAAAGAATGAATCCGACGTCCATGGAGGAAAACGCTAATAATTAGGGTTTTCGGAAGGAAAGTAGGTTATGCATATCTTGTACAAAGACTCCAGAAGCTGTGGAAACCAGAGGCGCCGTTCGAGCTAATTGCCCTAGAAAACGAATACATTATCGCGAAATTCGAATCTATGAGAGATTATGACATCGCCAAATACAGAGGGCCATGGATTATTCTTGATCACTACCTAACTGTTAAGGAGTGGGTGCCAAATTTTGATCCAAGAAACAATGTAACGGAGAAGATACTTGCCTGGGTTAGGTTCCCGTCGGTTTGAATCGAGTATTTCGAAGAAGAATTCCTCATGAAAATAGCAAGGAAGGTTGGACGTTCCGTGAAGGTGGATTATACAACGAGTTTGATTTCCAAAGGAAAATTTGCACGGGTGTGTATCGAAGTAGACATCTCAAAGCCGCTCATGGCCAAATACACGCTGAGTGACACAGTTTGGCCAATTGTTTATGAAGGGAGCAAACAAGTTACAAGCAGCCTTGTTTTAACTACTCCAAAGTCTGCGCCTGATATCCATGCTCGGACTGCCATAAACCACTGCTAGACTCCACTATTTTTTTCCAGGAATCTCGATATCAATTTTGACGAATTGGGAATTGGTTTTCGAGATATTGACATTGAGGGAGTTATTCCAAAGGACCCATATTCCTCGACTCATGCCCATGCCTCCACCCTAACCCAATTTTCACAATTTAGCTTGATACAAACGTCATCCGTACCATTACTTGAAATTTTTTGCTCAAGAATACAAAAGAAAGCAAGATTATACTGTCTAATGATGGAGAGAGCGGCCCTCAAGTATTTTTCGAGGCTGCCCCCAGACTATTCCAGACGATAAAAATCAGGGGAAGCAAAACAAAAAAGAAATCGCGGAAAACAACCAGCAACGAAGCAAACGAAAGCACAAGGATGGTGAACCTCAGGTAGCGTCCCCTTCTGGGGTGCCACCCTTACCACCTCCCTCTATACAATCATGCCATGGATCCGCATCTAGAGCCATTTTGTCTTGACTTACAACAATTCATAACCAATGGCTGCCCAGGATCACTAGAGTTTAATTAAGAATGAATATGAAAATTTTAATCTTTGAAGCTGGAGAGGATCAACCGGTGGAGGATGGTGGCGATAAAACGGAGGCAAAGGAGGGTCACCGTAACCAAGGTAACGATAACTTGGATGGACCACGGTGGAGGACGATGGCGATAAAACGGAGGCAAAGAAGGGTCACTGGAACCAAGGTAACGTAACTTGGATGGATCACGGTGGAGGACGATGGCGATAAAACGGAGGCAAAGGAGGGTCACCAGAACCAAGGTAACGGTAACTTGGATGGACCAAGGTAACGCTAACTTGGATGGTAGAACCAAGGTAACGGTAACTTGGATGGTAGAACCAAGGTAACGGTAACTTGGATGGTAGAACCAAGGTAACGGTAACTTGGATGGACCAAGGTAAAGCAAGGAACCAGCGGTGAAGGAAGGGGGACGGTGGCGGCCAATGTAATGGTAACTTGGAAGGTAGTAGATGGTCTAACCAAGGGGGAAGGCGAGGGAGGACGGTGGCGATAAGACGGAGGCAAAGGAGGGTCACCGGAACCAAGGTAACGGTAATTTGGAGATACGACGGGAAATTACGGAATCATACAGATCTTGGATGGTGGCACCAAAAAGGAATTACATATAGAATATCAACCAAAATGGTTGGAATAATTCCAAGCATGGTAATGATAATGGTGACCACAACAAAGTCAAACCGAGTCAGACCCACAGTAACACTCCAATTGACAAACATACTGGTACAATTTCAGCTCACACTTATATTAATGGGGGTGTAGCTCATATGGTAGAGCACTCGCTTCGCATGCGAGAGGTACGGGGTTCAATTCCTTGCACCTCCATGTGGTTAGTTTTGTCGACATTAAATCATATATATATATATATATATATATATATATATATATATATATATATATATATAATGAATGAGATTTATGGATGGGGATGTAACTCAGATAGTAGAACGCTCGCTTAGCATGCGAGAGGTACGGGGATCGATACCTCGCATCACTAATTTTAATCTTTGAAGCTAGAGAAGATCCAACGGTGGAGGACGGTGGCGATAAAACGGAGGCAAAGGAGGGTCACCGGAACCAAGGTAACGGTAACGTGGATGGACCACGGAGGTAACGGTAACGTGGATGGACCACGGAGGTAACGGTAACGTGGATGGACCAAGGTAACGCTAACTTGGATGGTAGAACCAAGGTAACGGTAACTTGGATGGTAGAACCAAGGTAACGGTAACTTGGATGGACCAAGGTAAAGCAAGGAACCAGCGGTGAAGGAAGGGGGACGGTGGCGGCCAATGTAATGGTAACTTGGAAGGTAGTAGATGGTCTAACCAAGGGGGAAGGCGAGGGAGGACGGTGGCGATAAGACGGAGGCAAAGGAGGGTCACTGGAACCAAGGTAACGGTAATTTGGAGATACGACGGGAAATTACGGAATCATACAGATCTTGGATGGTGGCACCAAAAAGGAATTACATACAGAATATCAACCAAAATGGTTGGAATAATTCCAAGCATGTTAATGATAATGGTGACCACAACAAAGTCAAACCGAGTCAGACCCACAGTAACACTCCAATTGACAAACATACTGGTACAATTTCAGCTCACACTTATATTAATGGGGGTGTAGCTCATATGGTAGAGCGCTCGCTTCGCATGCGAGAGGTACGGGGTTTAATTCCATGCACCTCCATGTGGTTAGTTTTGTCGACATTAAATCATATATATATATATATATATATATATATATATATATATATATATATATATATATATATATATATATATATATATATATATATATATATATATATAATGAATGAGATTTATGGATGGGGATGTAACTCAGATAGTAGAACGCTCGCTTAGTATGCGAGAGGTACGGGGATCGATACCTCGCATCTCCAATTTTAATCTTTGAAGCTGGAGAAGATCCAACGGTGGAGGACGGTGGCGATAAAACGGAGGCAAAGGAGGGTCACCGGAACCAAGGTAACGGTAACGTGGATGGACCACGGAGGTAACGGTAACGTGGATGGACCACGGAGGTAACGGTAACGTGGATGGACCACGGAGGTAACGGTAACGTGGATGGACCACGGAGGTAACGGTAACGTGGATGGACCACGGAGGTAACGGTAACGTGGATAGACCACGGAGGTAACGGTAACTTGGATGGAGCATGGTGGAGGACGGTGGCGATAAAACAGAGGCAAAGGAGGGAGACCAGAACCAAGGTAACGCTAACTTGGATGGTAAAACCAAGGTAACGCTAACTTGGATGGTAAAACCATGGTAACGCTAACTTGGATGGTAAAACCAAGGTAACGCTAACTTGGATTGTTGAACCAAGGTAACGCTAAATTGGATTGTTGAACCAAGGTAACGCTAACTTGGATTGTTGAACCAAGGTAATGCTAACTTGGATTGTAGAACTAAGGTAACGCTAACATGGACAGTAGAACCAAGGTAACGCTAACTTGGATTGTAGAACCAAGGTAACGCTAACTTGGATTGTAGAACCAAGGTAACGCTAACTTGGATTGTAGAACCAAGGTAACGCTAACTTGGATTGTAGAACCAAGGTAACGCTAACTTGGATTGTAGAACCAAGGTAACGCTAACTTGGATTGTAGAACCAAGGTAACGCTAACTTGGATTGTAGAACCAAGGTAACGCTAACTTGGATTGTAGAACCAAGGTAACGCTAACTTGGATTGTAGAACCAAGGTAACGCTAACTTGGATTGTAGAACCAAGGTAACGCTAACTTGGATTGTAGAACCAAGGTAACGCTAACATGGATTGTAGAACCAAGTTGGATTGTAGAACCAAGGTAACGCTAACCTGGATTGTAGAACCAAGGTAACGGTAACTTGGATGGTAGAACCAAGGTAACGCTAACTTGGATGCTAGAACCAAGGTAACACTAACTTGGATGGACCAAGGTAAAGCAAGGAACCAGGGGTGGAGGAAGGGGGATGGTGGCGACCAAGGTAACGGTAACTTGGATGGTAGTAGATGGTCTAACCAAGGGGGAAGGCGAGGGAGGACGGTGGCGATAATACGGAGGCAAAGGAGGGTCACCGGAACCAAGGTAACGGTAATATAGAGATACGACGGGAAGTTACAGAATCATACAGATCATGGATGGTGGCACCAAAAAGGAATTACATATAGAATAACAACCAAAATGGTTGGAATAATTCCAAGCATGGTAAAGATATTGGTGACCAAAACAAAGTCAAACCGAGTCAGACGCACAATAACACTCCAATTGACAAACATACTAGTATAATTTATGCTCACAATCCTATTAATGGGGGTGTAGCTCATATGGTAGAGCGCTTGCTTCGCATGCGAGAGGCACGGGGTTTCATTCCCTACACCTCCATGTGTTTAGTTTTGTCGACATTAATTCAATCTAAAAGTGATTTTGATTATATATATATATATATATATATATATATATATATATAGTTTTGTCGACATTAATTCAATCTAAAAGTGATTTTGATTATATATATATATATATATATGTATGTATATGTATATGTATATATATATATATATATATATATATATATATATATATATATATATAATGAATGTGATTATGGACGAGGATGTAGCTCAGGTGGTAGAGCGCTTGCTTAGCATGCGAGAGGTACAGGGATCGATACCCCACATCTCCAATTGTATTTAACAACAATTCATAACTAATGGTTGCCCAGGATCACTAGAGTTTAATTAAGAATCAATATGAAAATTTTAATCTTTGAAACTGGAGAGGACCCAACGTTGGACAACGGTGGCGATAAAATGGAGGCAAAGGAGGGTCACCGGAACCAAGGTAACGCTAACTTGGATGGTAGAACAAAGGTAACGCTAACTTGGATGTTTGAACCAAGGTAACGGCAACTTGGATTGTAGAACCAAGGTAACGACAACTTGGATGGTAGAACCAACGTAACGGTAACATGGATGATAGAACCAAGGTAACGACAACTTGGATGGTAGAACCAAGGTAACGGTAACCTTTTGAAGCTGGAGAGGACCCAACGGTGGACGACGGTGGGGAGGCAAAGGAGGGTCACCGGAACCAAGGTAACTCTAACTTGGATAGACAACTGTAGAGGACGGTTGCGATAAAACGGAGGCTAAAGAGGGTCACCGGAACCAAGGTAACGCTAACTTGGATGGTAGAACCAAGGTAATGGTAACTTGGATGGTAGAACCAAGGTAACGACAACTTGGATGGTAGAACCAAGCTAACGGTAACTTGGATGGACCAAGGTAAAACAAGGAACCAGGGGTGGAGAAAGGGCGACGGTGGCGACCAAGGTAACGGTAACTTGTATGGTAGTGTATGGTCTAACCAAGGGAGAAGGCGAGGGAGGACGGTGGCGATAAGACGGAGGCAAAGGAGGGTCACCGGAACCAAGGTAACGGTAATTTAGAGATACGACGGGAAGTTACAGAATCATACAGATCTTGGATGATGGCACCAAAAAGGAATTACATATAGAATAACAACCAAAATGGTTGGAATAATCCAAACATGTTAAAGATACTGTTGACCAGAACAAAGTCAAACCGAGTCGGACCCATAGTAACACTCCAATTGACAAACATACATGTATAATTTCTGCTCACAATCATATTAATAGGGGTGTAGCTCATATGGTTGAGCGCTCACTTCGCATGTGAGAGGCACGGGGTTCAATCCCCTGCACCCTCCATGTGGTTAGTTTTGTCGACATTTATTCAATTTAAAAGTGATTTTGATCACATATATATATATATATATATATATATATATATATATATATATATATATATATATATATATATATATATATATATATATATATTTATACATACATATATATACATACATATATATACATACATATATATACATACATATATATATATATATACATATATATATATATATATACATATATATATATATATATATACATATATATATATATATATATATATATATATATATATATATATATATATATATATATATATATATATATATATATATATATATATATATATATATAATGAATGAGATTATGGACGGGGATGTAGCTTAGATGGTAGAGCGCTCGCTTAGCATGCGAGAGGTACGGGGATCGATAACCCGCATCTCCAATTGTATTCTACAATAATTCATAACTAATGGTTGCCCATGATCACTAGAGTATCTGCAATAATTCATAACTAATGGTTGCCCAGGATCACTAGAGTTTTATTAAGAATGAATGTGAAAATTTTAATCTCTGAAGCTTGAGAAGACCTAACGATAAAATGGAGGCAAAAGAGGGTCACCGGAACCAAGGTAACGGTAACTTGGATGGAACCAAGGTAACGCTAACTTGGATGGTAGAACCAAGGTAACGCTAACTTGTATGGTAGAACCAAGGTAACGGTAACTTGGATGGTAGAACCAAGGTAATGGTAACTTGGATGGACCAAGGTAAAGCAAGGTACTAGGGGTGGAGGGAGGGGGACGCCAAGGTAACGCTAACTTGGATGGTAGAACCAAGGTAACGCTAACTTGGATGGTAGAACCAAGGTAACGCTAACCTGGATGGTAGAACCAAGATAACGGTAACTTGGATGGACCAAGGTAAAGCAAGGAACCAGGGTGGAGGAAGGGGGACGGTGGCGACCAAGGTAACGGTAACCTTTTGAAGCTGGAGAGGACCCAACGGTGGCGATAAAATGGAGGCAAAGGAGGGTCACCGGAACCAAGATAACGCTAACTTGGATAGACCACGGTGAAGGACGGTGGCGATAAAACGGAGGCAAAGGAGGGTCACCGGAACCAAGGTAACGCTAACTTGGATGGTAGAACCTAGGTAACGGTAACTTGGATGGTAGAACTAAGGTAACGACAACTTGGATGGTAAAACCAAGGTAACGGTAACTTGGATGGACCAAGGTAAAGCAAGGAACCAGGGGTGGAGGAAGGGGGACGGTGGCGACCAAGGTAACGGTAACTTGGATGGTAGTAGATGGTCTAACCAAGGGCGAAGGCGAGGGAGGACGGTGGCGATAAGACGAAGGCAAAGGAGGCTCACCGGAACCAGGGTAACGGTAATTTGTAGATCGAAGTTACATAATCATACAGATCTTGGATGGTAGCACCAAAAAGGAATTACATACAGAATAACAACCAAATTGGTTGGAATAATTCCAAGCATGGTAAAGATAATGGTGACCACAACAAAGTCAAACCGAGTCAGACCCACAGTAACACTCCAATTGACAAACATACTAGTATAATTTCAGCTCACACCCATATTAATGGGGGTGTAGCTCATATGGTAGAGTGCTCGCATCGCATGCGAGAGGTAAGGGTT